CCCCCCCAGGTCGGAGGGGCAGCAGCTCGCCGTCCGGCCAAGCAAAACGCACGTGACGGAGCGCTCGCTGTGTCAAGGCCGGGGATGATAAGTAGAGTTCAGCGCTGGAGGCAGCTGGAAATTGCAGCTTGCAGCGAAACGCCACAATTCCTCCTGAATTAGCCTACACGAGGGAGAACGCGGCCTGGCTGCCTTTCTCTCCTCTCTCCCCAGCTCTGCCTCAGCGCTCGCTTCCCCTTCAGCGTTAGTCGCTGCTGCCCGTCATCCCACGCGCGGAAAGTCCTTTCGCGCCAGCCCGGAGGCCCCGGCGTGGGGGACTCTGGGCCGTGTCCGTGGGGTGCGGGTGAGGGTGGCGTGGGGGACTCTGGGCCGTGTCCGTGGGGTGCGGGTGAGGGTGGCGTGGGGGACTCTGGGCCGTGTCCGTGGGGTGCGGGTGAGGGTGGCGTGGGGGACTCTGGGCCGTGTCCGTGGGGTGCGGGTGAGGGTGGCGTGGGGGACTCTGGGCCGTGTCCGTGGGGTGCGGGTGAGGGTGGCGTGGGGGACTCTGGGCCGTGTCCGTGGGGTGCGGGTGAGGGTGGCGTGGGGGACTCTGGGCCGTGTCCGTGGGGTGCGGGTGAGGGTGGCGTGGGGGACTCTGGGCCGTGTCCGTGGGGTGCGGGTGAGGGTGGCGTGGGGGACTCTGGGCCGTGTCCGTGGGGTGCGGGTGAGGGTGGCGTGGGGGACTCTGGGCCGTGTCCGTGGGGTGCGGGTGAGGGTGGCGTGGGGGACTCTGGGCCGTGTCCGTGGGGTGCGGGTGAGGGTGGCGTGGGGGACTCTGGGCCGTGTCCGTGGGGTGCGGGTGAGGGTGGCGTGGGGGACTCTGGGCCGTGTCCGTGGGGTGCGGGTGAGGGTGGCGTGGGGGACTCTGGGCCGTGTCCGTGGGGTGCGGGTGAGGGTGGCGTGGGGGACTCTGGGCCGTGTCCGTGGGGTGCGGGTGAGGGTGGCGTGGGGGACTCTGGGCCGTGTCCGTGGGGTGCGGGTGAGGGTGGCGTGGGGGACTCTGGGCCGTGTCCGTGGGGTGCGGGTGAGGGTGGCGTGGGGGACTCTGGGCCGTGTCCGTGGGGTGCGGGTGAGGGTGGCGTGGGGGACTCTGGGCCGTGTCCGTGGGGTGCGGGTGAGGGTGGCGTGGGGGACTCTGGGCCGTGTCCGTGGGGTGCGGGTGAGGGTGGCGTGGGGGACTCTGGGCCGTGTCCGTGGGGTGCGGGTGAGGGTGGCGTGGGGGACTCTGGGCCGTGTCCGTGGGGTGCGGGTGAGGGTGGCGTGGGGGACTCTGGGCCGTGTCCGTGGGGTGCGGGTGAGGGTGGCGTGGGGGACTCTGGGCCGTGTCCGTGGGGTGCGGGTGAGGGTGGCGTGGGGGACTCTGGGCCGTGTCCGTGGGGTGCGGGTGAGGGTGGCGTGGGGGACTCTGGGCCGTGTCCGTGGGCTCAGGGTGGCGTGGGGGGCTCGGGACCATGTCCATGGGGTGCGGGTCAGGATGGTGTGGGGGGCTCTGGGCCATGTCTGTGGGGTGTGGGCCAGGGTGGCGTGGGGGCTTTGGGCTGTTTCTGTGGGGTGGGGAGGGGACCCTGGTCCCCCAGGGGTCTGCAAAGGGGGTCTGCCCGGTGATGTGCCCCCCCACCCCAAGTCCCCCCAGCCTGTCTGAGAGGCCCCATGGGGCGGAGGAGGAAATGCTTCTCTCTGGGTTTTTGCCTCAAAATCGATAGGGCCCGCCTGGCGTGGGGGTGTGTACCAGGCAAGCAGGACTCTGCTGCCCCAGGGCTCGGGGTGGGTGTTCGGCCGGTAGCTTGGATGAAAATGACCCCAGCATTTCCTTTGGGTGGGAATCGACAGCAGAGGCTAAAGGGCGAGATGTCACTTGTGTCTTGGAGTGTGGTGTAATGTTAATGTGTGGTGGTGTCAGTAACGCAGGAATTACTCAATGGGGATTTTTGTCTCCTTGGCCAAAGCACGGTCCTTGTATGAAAAGCCAGAGTGACCGCGAGCCACCCCTGACCCGCCTTCGGTGTGCTCCTTGGGGTTTTGGGATCACTGGCCTCCCGGAGACCTTTGCGGATCCAGGGTGTTGTAAACCTGGAGTCCAGGCTTTCAAGAGCGCAGCTGGCTTTAAAACAGTGAGAGGGCCATAACATATCCTGTGGTAGGAAGACTAAGAATCACACTCTGGTGTGGGCTTAAATGTAGTGGGAAGCTTATATAGAAGTTTTCCTTTACTGACAGTGTAGTAATAGTATTATATACTGTTGCAAAAGGATGAATTGAGTGTTTTGAGTTTTTGATTTGGAAATGCAAGAGGAAAAAGGCTTACTTCTTTCCATCACTTAAAACGTAAACGTGATGCACAGGGATTTCAACTTTATTGAGGAAATACCTATATATTCAGAAAGATGGGAAGACTTTATAAAATTGCTTCTTACTTCTTTAATTGTCAATTAACAAGCAGTTCAGGCTAGATGAATCTATGTGTGCATGCTTGTGTATCTGAAGAAACTGCACTTTTTCATTGGTGCTCCCTGTTCTGTGTTGGCATTGGCCATAAGTTTTCCTGCCAGGCTGGAGGATGTAGTCCGTAGCCTTAACGGATTGGTCCTGATGGATTTCATGCCTCGCTGAGAAGCCTCCCTGTTCAAGGGATAAATCATGTGCAGCCTTGCAACACTTGAAAGCTATCAAGGACCAGCAGTAGTCCTTGACTACTTGTCAGAAGACTCTTCAGGAGATCACTCTTCACAGGTCATCTGAAAACTGAAGTGATGGGAGAGAGCGGTAGTGGAAGTTGTTTAGTGCTTGACCAAGTGAGCCGCTGATAATATCAGCGGTCTGAATCTTCATTATGGTCAGGAGTAGAAGCTGATACCTGCAGAGTTTTGACCACTGCTGCTATCTTGGATACTGAATAGCATGGTTAATCTGTCTATGTGTTTTGCCTTTGAAATGATCATTATTTGTCTTTTGGGAGGAATGCTTTTTTGTGAATCTGAAATTTGACTTGCTTAGTGTTATTACTAAGTTAGAAGAAAATGGTTGGACTAAGAAAAGCTGCTTCCTGAATATGTTTTGGCCAGGTTTGCTCAGAAAGGGTGGGAAAAAGAAGGCTCTTTCAAGGGTAGGCGTCTTAAAAATTGAGCAGTTTGGTAGAGTAGATGCGTGGTACATGTTGGGGCTATTATTTCAGAAAATGATTTATGCAATCCGGTAAGATGGCAAAATACTATTTTTGCAAAGACTAAATGTCATGCCCGTTTATTTAAACTGTAGCTTAATGCTAGGAACTTATCAGTTTGTTGCTAGCCCTAAGAAGTTGCTTTTCTGACAGGCAAGGCATCTTCGCTTTCTATATCTGGGAGGCTGATTTAAGTCCTCCTAAGCTGCAGAAGTTGAGTTTTCATTGTGGATCAAAACTCGTTCCACTGCTAAATAAAGACTGGCTGTCAGAGATGACAAATCTAGAATGAAACGACTGCTGTTTTAATAAGGTGTTGACCTGCATATGGTTGTTGGGAGTAGAAGCTGTGGCTGGAACGAATAGAGAAGGAAAAATGAAATCACCGAAAGGGTGTTTTCAAATACACATGTATTCACCTGTCATGATGCTCTTGTGCAAGAGACGGCAGGCGTCTGATGTCAGCCCTCTTGGTCAATGCATAGGAGGCTCCTGGATGTGCTCAGCGCTATGGTTTGGACTCCTCAACTCTGCCTCATCATGCAAGTCCAATGGTGTAGCAACTTGCTTTTCCAGTTGAGCCTTTGTTTTCTGAAAGACTGGAGTTGAAGTTGCAGTAAGCTGGGGTGGGGCAGGAACACCTGTACTGTTGGTGAGAACGCTCCTGATAATTGCTGTTAATGTTGACCGCATTTGTTCCTTTTCTGACCAGACAGCAGTGGGTCAAATGGGAATCCTCCTTAGTTAAGCTCCCTGTAATTATCCACCATTATTATTATTAGCCTTGTTAATGCAAAAGTGAACTCTGAGCTTCTCTAAGCCCAAATTCACCAGATTGCAGTTGACTATCAGCCCTTGATTTCTAACAGATTCCAGTACGTCTAGAGCACCGTAAGGGTATTACCTTGGGGAGCCACAGCTTGGGATCTTTACTCTTAAAACACAAGACTTTTGAAGACTTTAGATGACGCTGACAGTGCTGGTCTGTTTGCTTGAGGTGGATTTGCTGAAGAGCAAGTTTTACTTGATGATTTGAAGGTGTTACTGTCTGTCAAATTTGTTCTTATCAAAGATGCTGATTTAGACTTTCAAAACTGAGTGTAATTACCATCTGGCTAGCTTACATCACTTCCTGCAGGGCATCACTTAGTCAATTCAAAATATGTGAAGATACTCTCCTAAATGTTCTCAAGGCTTGAATCTCTGGGAGCAGAGGAGTTATGGCTCTGGTAGTATTTGGCATTTGAATTTCTTACAGTGGGTAGACTGGGCTTTTGTCAGCTTCCCCAGTATTTATTTTTCCTCTTATTTCTTGTCTTGTTGCTGCTGCAGTAAGTTGGTATTTTTCTTTAGTATTATTGATCTAGTCCCATTCAGCTTCTCCTGATTTTTAAAAACAGTATTTGTGTTCTGGAGGGGAAACCACGGCTAGGGTTTGAACGTTTGGGCTGAATGTAGCCGTCGTTATCCTAATGGTTTAGGGCAGATGGGATTTGGATGTGTACGCTCTGTAAAACTAGGACTAAATGCAAGAAGAGCAGCAGAACTCTTGACGGCCTGCTTCTTCTGGAGTTAGGGAACTTATTTAAAGACAAAACCAAACGTTCACAACTTTCAGTTGACATAACTTCATTTCCTTTCAGTTTGTACTCTTGACTAATGACTGTGAAGCCAAGGAATGGTATAGTGATTATTAATTCCGACTCCTCCTTTGGGACATAGTAAGGAAATGTCGTCCGTGTTGGAAAAAGAATTTTCCTAAACATCTGTGTTAAAATGCCCTTTTGTAGTTACGTTCTTAGTTTCTATGAATTCTTTCTAAGATCATCTTGCCAACAGAAGTCAAGGGCTGTGTCTGGTCAATGCCCATCCAGAAGAAATAGTGCCTATATCATTCTAAATACATGATCATCTGAGTGCTACAGAAATAATCATTCATTCTATTTAGAAAATAGTCTGTTCCTAGGGCGCATGTCCTTTTTTTAGCCTGCATAAGGATGAAAAAAGAGCTTTGTATCTGCAAATGGCATTAGTGCCCGCTGTTTGTTCCATGCAGCAAGCCTTAATCTTGTTTCTCTGACATCACCGTTTATCGCTGTGGAAGCGATGATAATGACAAGTAGTGGGCTACCATTTCTGCAGAGGCAAACATTCTTAATGTTCAGATTAATGCAGATTTAGTAATGGAGGGTGACGGAAGACTTTGGAGAATGCGGCAAGCATAGTTTCTGTCTGCCACATTTCCATGGAAACACCAATACCTCTTCAGCTCTTTAATTGCCTTAACTATGTTTTTTGTTGAAAACTTTTTTTAAGTAAGTGCTTTGTGTTGCAGTTCTGGATTGTAGATGTTTTGACTTTGTGTGGGAAAACTCTGAAAACATGGGAAGGCAGGAAACAACAGCTGTGAAAGTAAATAGAGAATATGATTGACAAACTTTTAAAGTGTATTACAAGTTCATCCGAAATTCAATATATATTATGACTCGAGCTTTTATCAGTAGTTCTTGAACAGGAATAGTGTCACGTGAACTGTGGCCGCATCTGATAGAAGCAGTAGTCTTCCTACAGGTTCCTAGGTCTGAGACTTTGAGGTCAGAAAGACTCCATTTCTGTCTATGAACTTGGACAACAGTTCCCCAGCTCTGCTCTTAAGAGAACAAACTAATACTTTCTACCTGTGCCTAGATGTTCAGTCTCTTTGACTGGAGAAGAGATTTGAAACAGATGGATTTTAGGGCATGTGGTTCTGCGAGTCTGAGAGCTTGTGGGACCACCTCTAGCTTTATATAATGTAGTTGGGTTTGCTGTTTGCACTCTTGAATTTAACAAACTGATGGACTTCTAAAGCAAAATTTCTTCTTCTTATAGGCTTGTTACTTCTAAAATCCACTTAAATATTTGATTTTGGCAACTGTTTTTATGCTTTCCGTATGGAGTCTAGAGAAGCTAGTGCAGAAAACCAGTTTAGACAGATGCTTGAGGTTTTCTCTCTCAAAAGGTATAGGGGATTGGCTGTGTCTCTTCCCACTCCTCTGAGCTCTGATCAGCTTCTCAGTTGAGGAGTGTTGAGCTATCCAGTTTATTTCAGACTTTTATTTGTACGAACAGTGGAGGGCATTTGAAGGGCACTGAATGTGCTCTGTTGGCAGTTTTCTTTTGGCTTTACTTGTTCCTGGGATGTACTGGAATCTGGGGGGGCATCTCTTTTCCCGGTCAGTACCATATGCATGCACTCAGACTCCACCCTACAGTTAGAATGGCTGGGCGGCTTTGCAGTTTTATTACGTATTTTCCCAAGCTGTTTGCCTGTGAGAAATTATTCTTCTGGTGAGTACATCTTCTGAATGTGGAGGTTTGTGTGGTATCTGCATGTGGACCATCCGCCTATAAAACACCTTGCTGTTATGTGTGTTTTTTAGCAGATGGTAGAAATTACAGTGCAGTTGGTGTCTTTGAGAAATGAGGAGTCTAGCAAGGCATCAGAGCTACTTCATGGATCACTGTTTTGGATCCTTTGACTTACTGCCGCGACGGAGCTTGGAGTGCTTCTCCCAAATGATTTCTGGTTTTCTTTTGGTCTTAGCAAGATGAGTTTTGAAGAAATCTGCAGGTGTTAAAGTCTTGCAGGATTCAGAATCAGAAATGAGAAACACGAAGGGAGGATTTATCTGTGTAGTGATTTTTTTTTTTTTTTTAATCCTTAAATTTGCTTTAGAGCTGTTATTGAGTACTTGCATGTAATATTTTGGTTTTTTTTTTTTTTTTTTTACTTTAGAGGCATCGGGAACGTCAAATATTAATCACCTATTATCTTAATAAACATAAAGAGGAAGAAGTCTTGAGCTGAGCGTATCTTGTTTGAAAGTGCTGATCCATGAATCTTTTGAATAAGTAAAGCTTTTATAGCAACTGGATGCATATGGATCTCTTAAAATACTTTAATCAATCTGATTATATTTGCTTTATTGATTTCCGTGCGGTACAGACAAGCTTCATCGTTAATTACTACCTTCTATCTGTGACGGACAAACTGCGCAGCTTGCTTAAGTTTCTAAAATGTTAAACATTTTCTAAATCTATTTGAGCTGAATATAAGGGCTTTATCGCTTTTTCACAGTAAGGATTTCTCCTAGTTTTTTTTCCTCCCTCCAGTGTTGCTGCTGTGGGGTGATCTGTTCACTTCCAAAAAATAAGCTGTTGTCAACTAGTACTTATTTATTAGTGGTTCCTTTCCATGATAAATAACCTTATTTGAACTGTAATCTGTTGAGATTAGTCAGTAGCCTAATTGGTTACCTCTCCTTTGTGGTTTTCCTCCAAAATTTGGTTATCTTAGGTTATTCTCTGTATTTATGCATTTTCTTAGTCCTTACCATTTTTTTGATTGTTGAGCTTCCTCAGGTCATGCACGTTGTCACCGTTGAAGCGTTCTGTTGGTTTCCTCGCAGGAAGGAGCTACGAGGCTTTTTCCAAGTACTTCACCTCACCCTTCAGCCTAGTTTTCTTAGTTCCTCTTTTCACGTAGTGTTTTCCCAGAAGGGAATCAGAGGCTGTTACGCCCTGGCAATATGAGACACCTTGATTTGTGGTGGAGTTGTGCTTCTGACCTTGCTGATGGCCCCTCTCTTGAGAGCTGATACAATTTTCGTCTGACTTTTCTTCTTTATTTTAGGTAGGTTGTTGTCCACCTCCTCCCCCAAGAGAGCTTTTGAGAACCTATTGACTGGTCTCAACTGTATATGAGAGAGGGCTACGTGTTTAGAAGGTAGTAAGTTTCTATCAACTTAATGGAAAATTTGTGGGCAGAAAGAGGAAAATGCCCATTAGTGTATTATTTCCCATGGAGAAGGCTGTATCGTGAAGTCAGCTCTGTTTAGTTATCCAGCAGTCTGTGTCAGAATATCACTCTCCCTTTACTTGCAGAAAAAGCTTTGGTCAGAGCCTGCACGTTCTTAGATGCGGGATAATCAACCACAGTTCACTGTGCTACAGGAAACCAGCTTTGTAACGTCTCTTCCTCACAGCATTAATTGTTTTAGTATTTTGCATTTTTGTTTCTACTTGACTTTTTCTCAGCTCATAGGTGAGCAGTTTATTAGCTTTACTCCCCTTCTAGTATCTGTTACAAAGCTGTTTTGGATTTTCTGCAGTTAGGTCTCTTCCCCCCTGCCCCCCATAGCAGTCTTTTTAAGAGGAAAGCTGAACACTGACACTTACAGCTTCTGATGTTAATCCTTCACCATTTCTTTTAATGTTCTAGCCTAAAAAGAGTCTGAATTTATAGTGTGCAGATGAAGAGTAGAAACCAAATCACAACTTCCAGATCATCTTGGCATCCTAAAGAACGATAAGGCAGAAACATAACGTTTTCTTTTCCTCTTAGATTTTCTTTAACTGTCTCTTTAGCCAGAAAAATTAAACCTGGTCTAAATAGTACTCCAAAGAGATGTGACCTTTGACTGATTCAGATGTTTAGAGTCACAGCACTTCCTATAGTGTTTTTTTTAAGTGTCGCTTTCTGCCTGTGTTCATTTTACAACAGTGGCTACCGGTTTTTCTCTCTAGCTTTGGGAAATAGTCCTGGTAGACTAGTTAAAATATCAGATTAGAATTTGTGCCTAAATGCAGGTGTTCTGCAATGGTTTATATGGACTCTTAAGCTTGCTAGTTTAGCTAATAACGTTCATCTCATATATGCTTAAAGTTTTATCTGCTGTGTTTTTTAAACTTGGTTAGAATGCAGGCTAGAAACTGGATATTTCTTTCACTCAGTGGTGGCCTGTTACTGCCTAGTAAGGGCTCGAGCCCAACTTTTGGTAATCATTGGTTGTTTTCCCAGTGTTACCTTAATATGCCCAAAAGGACTGATAAAAATCATAAGGTGATTCAGTACAGTAAGGAGCCCTGGGATATCCCCATGAGGTCCTACTGGCATACCCGAGTTAGCACTCTGCCACCTGAGAGTGTGAGGACTTGAAACGTTGCTGCTTGCTTTTGGTCTAGGCTAACTCAGGTACCAGTCATCTCAGTTGCATTTGCAAGCTAGGGCAAGCCCAGAAAACCAACAAACAATTCCCCACTGTTTTTTAATGGAGAAGAAAATTGTCAGAAGCAGCCTGTTATACTCAAAGCCTTGATGGATCTGCTGTTTTCATCCATGACTTCTAGAAAAAGGGCTGACCAGGGTTGCCCCCCCCCCCCAAAGACAAGACTGTCCTCTCTCACGCTGTACACAAGAAAATACTTCCAGTTAACCTAAAAAGTATGTTTTACTTTGTACCTTCTGCTGGCTGAGGTAGAAGATAAAGCTTCTGATACTGTTGACGCTTGAGCACAACTTGGTGGGGTAGCAGCAAAGTAGCTTTTGAAGTAAATCACGTGGAAAGGTCTGATTCTTTGCATGCGTTGGGAAATTGTTAAAGTTATCAAGAAATACAGGAAGACAATGCTCTGTGCACAGAAATGCTAACTTCATTGTCAGAACTGTAGTCTTCAATTTTCCTTGTGATTTCTTTTTTTAAAAAGAAAGGGTAATGGCACTTTTTAGTACTCATTTTAATATAGAATGTTGTCATAATTATGTTAACTTAATCTTATTTACATTTGAATGTATGTTTAGTCTCTTTTAGTCTCAGGCTAAAAAAGGTCCAGTGGTCAGTTTGCTTTTGTTTTTTCACTTCTAAAATATTGTATGCAATATATTTGTGTGTATATATATATATATATATAAACATCCCCCTGTGTTCCCCAATTCAATTTATGTCTCTGTTAAAAAGAATTACAAGGGCCAGAAGTAGTTTAATGACGTGCTAAACAGGAGTTAAAGGCAAAAATAACTTGTCAAGAAACAGGAGAAAATTAATCATTACTTTGCCAAAGTCTCTCCCCTGTATCTATATTTGGCCTAGCAAGTTGGACTAGAAGTTAGTTGCTTGCAGTTTTTCGAAGACTGTAATTCTGGGAGAGAAGGGAGGCAAGAGGTGCTCCGTTCTGCTTCGCTGATTCAGGATATCCTTCCTGAAAAGCTGAAAGCGGTCACCCTCTTGTTTCATTCTGTGCAGTTGTGCTCGAGGATGTTTTTCACCAAATGCTAGTTATGGATATGGTATGGGTTGCAAAAACAAATAGCTGGTCAGTTCTCACTGGGGATGCAGGTACTCAAAGGGATTACAAAATTCTGTTTGAAAGCACAGGCACAAAAGAAATAATCCTCTGAGTATTTGCTTCGTTGGCTTTATTGATGTGAAAGAATGAAAATTCAAGGAATCTTAAGGTAGTGAGATGAGAAAGCCAAGTCTGTTTCCTGTCCCAGTCCTCCAAAATGTGCTAAGGTTCACTTTGCGTTCCTCCATTTCTTTGGAGTAGCTTAAGTAGTGAGAGAAGTCTGAATACACGCGTCCTTTTGGGAGTCTGTTGAACGCTGTATAACTAAATGGTGCTAACTCAAGCTAACGCGTGCTTTGAAAACGAGCTGCTGCCCCTGTAATGTTAGAGATGCAGATTAAGTTTGAAATCAAAGATCTGCAGGTGTTGCAGGTAAATGGGGTAAAACTTAATAGACAGGTGCAAATCAGAATGTTTTTGACCGATGCGGGGCGGGGGAGCCATGCAAAATCTGCGTTAATACTTCTGTTGCTGCGTAACGTTGACCCCAGAGGTTATCTGCAAGGGTCTCGGAGTGGAATTCTGTTCGTTTCCTGAGTGCTCTGCAGAAGCAGCGTTATCTGGTGCCCCGTTTTCAGAAATCAAATGAGCAGGAAACAGCCGTACTTATATTGTGAGAAATAAAGTTAATGTCTCGGGGCAACTGCATTTCATTTTACCCTCTTCCCTTGAGATTGCAAGTGTAAAATGTTCCTGTGTACCTAATAGCGCATGTGACCTGTTCACATGTTCCAGGATTATTGAGAAATAGCATTTCAAGCCCTGGATAGTAACTGGAGTCTGTTCCAAGTTGTCTGACTGTTGAATTGAATTGGGGCTGGTTGCAGAGAAAGCTTGATGTGACTGATGTCTTTGTCTCTTTTGTTTCTGAGCCCGTTCTGTAATGCTTTAGTGGTTACTTGGACCAGTCCTCCCTGGTATAGTTTCAGGACTTGTAAGGTTATTTCTGAAATGGATGTTGGCTTCATTTTTAAATTGTGATAATCCAGAGAAACTGAATTTGTGTTGAAAATTTAATATTATTTGAGGAAAGCGAAACCATAGGAAAGAAGTCATCTGCCCTACGGCAGCGGGAACACAAGTGGCAGATTAAGTGGTTGGATATTATTGATGCTTCTAGGTGTCTTAGCCAAGATTTGTTAAATGTTTTTCCAAATGCAGTATGCTAGTTGAAATAGATACATAAAGGCATGGAAGTGTGTGTGGAAGGACGGAAACAGAAACGGAGGCTTGGAAGATCAAGTGACTTTTGGTTATATGGGTAAAGTTTAGGATAGAACCCAAACTTCTGATTCCTAGAGCTTTATCCGCCAGCTCAGAGCTATTCAAATGGCTGTTTCTGGACCAAATGGGTTGGGTAAATTTCTGTGGTTCCAGAATGCTGTCTACTCCAGCAGGTTTTCTGTGTTTCTGACCTTCCTGATTGCTTGAGAAATAGCTACAGTCTGCGCTTCAGATCCCGCTGTAGAGACTAGGACCTGCAAGAACTGGAGCTAATGCATTGCTTCCTTCCAAAACAGGCCTCACTAGAATTTCCAGTAGACCTGAGTAAAAATTGACTAATCTTGAAGTATATCATAATTAACGCCTCATTTAAAATATTGTACTGAAAACGTCAAGCTTGAGCTACAAGAGTATCTCTTTCTCATAAATACCAAATTCTTTACCGTGAGTCTTTCTGATCTCATATATTTTTATTTGTTCTCAAACCTAACCATCGCTGAAATTAGAGTAGTCGTAACAGGAATGATATTGCAACAAATTCTGGATTGCTGGAAGCGTAGGGATGAGGGATAGATACCCCCACTTCAGTGCCATGTGACCCTGGAGATGATAGAAAGGAAGGAAAAAGTTTGAGATGAGATCATGAAACAAAGCTTAGGAGTAGCTGCCGCTTACTGAGGAGAATCTGAGTGCAGAATTTTGGTCAGAAAGTAGCAACTGTGTGACACTAAAGCCAAAATGTGCAAGTGCTAATGTAAACATCTTTGGAGCTTGCTGAAATTATGCATGCCTTGCTTTGAAAGCTATCTAAAAGAAACTCTGGAAGTATTCAGTTGCCCGATGAACAAATCTGAATTTGATTCTTTTTTCAGTCTGGCTCTTTAGATGCTGCCAGAAATTAATATAAACTGTGTGATAGTGTCTTAGGTTTGGTTCTCATCATATAAAATTTATTTGTTATATCAGAATCTGCTATGTATAACATTTCCGTTCCCCAAAATATATTAGTGAGGCTTTGACTTTACATGTATGACTAGTGATGTGACCATCGTTTACTTTTCTTTCAGCTTTACAGTGTATGGATGATTCCAAGCCTTGTATTAATGAAGGAAGGTGCATTCCGTATCAGAATGGTACAGGATATTGCAAGTAAGTCAAATTTATTTTTAATGTTTTAGTTGCCAATCTTCCTTTCTATTTAGGGCTCTGATTGAAAGAAATGTGAATTTGTAAGGTTTTCTGTTGTCAGGTACATTCAAGGTAAATGTTGTAGCACAGATTGTGTGCAGGGGGAAAGGTTGATACCTTTCTGTAATGGTGCCTTCACTTTGCTGCTGCATGGAAAACTGATCAGCAGGAGCCTTGGAGGAATATGTAGTGTCTGGAGAACGATATCACATCTGTTTAAGTGTAGTTCATCTTTTCAACTTCAGCTGCAAAGTTTGGATTTTTTTTAAATTAAGTTATATTCTGCAAAGAAATAAATTCCCCCTGTTTGCTGGGGTTAGATTACCATGTATCTGGGGTAAATGGATTTTCTAAGCCTTGTTTACTTCAGTGCAAGTTGTGCCATTTTGTAGCATGCTAAATCCCTCTCTCCTTAGTGCTTACATTCTTTAGATGTTAGTGGATTCTGTCTCATTGATTTAGCTTGGCTAACACATGACTCTACTTCCCCCCACCCCCCACCCCTTTTCTGCACATCCGTCTTCCTTGTCTGCAATTGTTAGTTCTTTCTGTTAATACAGTGCACAAAACTTGATACACTTAATTTGCACCTGTGGCACATAAAGGGGAAATCATAACCTAATTTGAGGTGGTTCTCAGTTTCAAATCAGTACTTGATTCAGAGAAGGGCCACAGAAAAATAAATATATGACGTGTTATTCCCAACTGTATTTTTAATTTCTCACCGTTACTGCTCCCTAGGCTTTTTCTTTCCGTTGCTTTTAGATCGCTGAAAGCAGAAATGAACTGCCGTTCTGAAAAGAAACCTGAAATTTTTCCTACTTTCCCCCCTCCGTTTTAAGACTGAAAAAGAACCTATTTGTGTAACGTTAGCAGGTCTTGCTGATGAGTACCTGTCTAAGTCTCTTAGTCTGAAGCAGAAACATGTGGGTCACAGTAAAGATTAAACAAGACTGGTATTGATGTCGGTGCCTCTTGTACCTTGCTGCAGATATTTTCTCCAACTTGCTTGTTCCTGTTAACTGTGTCTTAGACTGTATAAAATTGTTTAGTCAGTTCACCTGATGGTTTAACTTTGTTTAAAATTTCAATGTTTGTTGTGCAGGCCAGGCTTTGCCAAGTTTCTTCTATCACAGCTTTGACTGCTTTTTAAAATTTTTTTTTGAACGGACAGCTATTTATAATTCTAATGTCGCCTTCCTCCTTTTTGTGCATAGTCTTCTTGTAGGTCTTAAGCCAACCTCTGCTTTGAATGAAAGCTCAATCCTTTTGCAGATGACAAAGCGATTGGAAAGGCTAATGCAAGCCTGTTTTCAGAGATGAGCATGTACCCGTTTTCTAGTTCTGACTGAAAAATATTTTTTGCAAAAGGAAAGGAAAAATGGCATAAAACTTGGTTGTGGAGATTCTACCTTTAGCAGGCTGATTCTTAGCATCCTGTTTTGGTTTTAAGGTTGCGTGTGTGTGTGTGTTTTGCTTTTTTTTTTTTTTTTTTCCCTTTCCTGCACTATGGGGAACTCTGAATAGGGAAACTTTCTTTCTGGTATAGTAGGCTAAATGACTTTCTGAATTTTGATGGCTGTGAGAATAGAAATATTTTATTCAGAAAACTGAACTTATCACTAAGGCAAAGTGGCTTGCCTTCTAGCTCTACAGGATCACTGACTGATTAGCTAAATCTCCACCCCTTCCACTTTTTCAAGTTTTCTGCAGTACTTCCTCTGCTTGGCAATAAGCTGTTATAATAGGCTCTCTTCCTCTTTCTGTACTGCCTCTTGGCAAAGTTGTTTGTACCAGTGTGTGGTCAGTCCGTCTAGTTAATCTTACCACCTGTAAGAAGCAAGGGAATATCTGAAAGAGAAGCTACATCAGAGATACTCACGTCTTATTCATCATATATGATTAACACGATCGTTGATAAGCAAAACATCCAGTCTAAGTATTTGGCAAAGCAGCAAGTGAGAGCTTAGTGCTGAAACAGCTTGCTTTGTCAGTGTGTCCTGTACTATCTACTCCATTAAAAGAGAAAGCTAGTTTTCTGCTAGAAAACCTATATTCTAGTGCATCTGGCTTCTGTTATGGGAACAGAGATTGTGACTCTCGTAATGAAATTGGAATTGGATTTTTATCAGATTGCTCTCGTGAGTGCCCTTTAGGTAGTTCAGTTCCCCTGCTGATACTACTGACCCTTGGCTGTCATGTTGTGGCACTTGTTTGATAGAAATACTGACCTTCTTTGACCTTGTTTTTATATTTAGAAAATCGCATGTTCCCATGTTTGCTTCTTCCAAGGTCAGAATTTTTCTTTGAGAGATCTTTCTACATTCATTCTGTGACTAGCATGGTGAGGATGCAGACCTGATTCCCGGGAGTATGGAGTCTCTGCAGCAGGAGTAACCGTGCGAGTGGTAGAGCAGTACGAAGGGGATGTGTCTTTTCAAGCTTGCTGGACTCCGCTTTGAGGAACGTAAATTTCAGTTTGTAGTTTGGCTTGGTACTGCACTGCAGTGATTTTTTTTTGTTTGCTTGTTTTGTTCCCCCTGCCCAGCATCTGTAGACGGTCTTTTGTACATCAGGATGTTAAGCATGAAGCAGCCTTCTTTTGTACCCAGCATAGAAGCAGGATAACTTTTTCTTGCTGCTTAGTACTAATTGTGGACGTCACAGGAAAACCCTCTCTCCTCTCCCTGCTGCTAGATGGCTGGGACAGTAGTAGTAGTGGGAAGAGTCTGGTGGTAGTATGCTAACTTGCATTATTTCTACAAGTGCAGGTAGTATGAAAAGGGGGGGGGGGGGGGGGGGTATTTCAAGGACAAATAGTGTAGAGATTTTGCCTATGCGTCCTGCTGTTTTCTGCGCGCTAGAATCTGTTGTGTTGCCTGTGGATGGTAGTAACTGATTGCAGAACGGGGCTGCCCTTTTGTGCTGGGAGTGGGGCAAGGTCCAGGAGCAGAGAATATCAAACAGGGAGACTGCTGCAGCAGGCTGATGCCAAAGGGACTGTCTCCTTCAATGCATCTTTTACGCCTGAAGCTGTCAGGCTCTGTGCAGCTTTGTGTAATTCTGCGCCGTTTCAGCAGGCAGGAGTTTTTC